TGAACCCATGACAGCCTGCTGAGCTGAGCCTAGGACCAAATGAGCCTCCAGTCTCAGAAAGACAGATGGCTTCCTTGTCATAGGTAATTATTTTCCAAAGATGAAAACATCAAATATGGCAGAAGAAAAATTGACCAAGCTGAAAAATCTGGAATTACATTGCTTGGAAATGACCTCTGCTATTTTAAAATTCATTTTATTCTTTGCATCCGTGTCAGTATAAAATACATATAAAATTTGGACCGTGGAGTGTATGAAACAGTACAATAGGTGGTGGGTGCTGTCTCTGACACCAAATAGCATTCCAAAACATTTACGTTCTCCACAATCACGCACTTTGAAGCTGCATCACTATTTACCTAACCTTTTTTCCTTGTTGACATTTATCACCTTAAAAGAAGCTGTTACCAACAATGCTGACAGAGTCCTAGATTTGGGATTGGAAGGTCAAAGAGATGAAGAGATATAGAGTCACCGCTTCTCAATTCTCAATCAGAAACCGAATCGCCATGTGGTTTTGCCAGCTTGTCTCGCTCTTTCGTGAATGTCTGTCTCTTTTCCAGGTTCCAAGGAGATAACCCAGTTTCCGAATGGAAATGAGGTTGGATGAGGACCTGAAGGGAAAGATCCGATGCAGGCATCTCAAGCTCAGCTCTGCTCATGTTCCTGTAACCACGAGGGTTCCTGGCTGCCGCAAGCCAGCCTTTCCCCAGAGCCCTAGGGATCCCTCGCTTTGGTCTGAGAACTTGGTCTGTTCTTCTCTCTTATGGGCAGTAAACTATTTCTGAATCTCAGGAAAACTCATGTTTTCACAACTTTCTCCATAGGGAAGAAAATGGCTCTCTTAGCCAGGCATGGTGATGCATACCTGTAATCCCGGAACTGAGACAGGAGGATTGCTGTGGGTTTGAGGCTGGCGTGAACCATATATGGGCTTTTGCTTAGCTGGTCAGGAGGCAGCCTGAGTCTGAGGCTCCTCACACCCACTGTCCACACTGTTTGTTCCCCTTATAACATTTAATAATTTAAATAATAATTTATAATTTAGATAAACAGACATTCATTTAGGGTGAGACAGCTGCAGAGCCACAGATCTCAACTACATGGTCACTTCTGCACCCATCCTTCTCTTGCTTCCCTTCCCTGAATAACATCTTCAGATATGGGTCAAGGTAGGATCTATCTCCTCATAGCTCATCACTGTTCCTTAGGCTAGAGCTCATGCCTCATGGTCAAGCCCAGGCCCAGGGTCTCTTAATGTAAAATATCCTGTCATTATAGGGTTCTCTGGAAGCCTTCTTATGACTTCGTTTACGTCTTCAGTCTTATGGATTGTATGACCTCACAGTAACCCCAGTTTGTTTACTCCTGCAGCATTATAACACATGTTTGAATACTGTCTAGCCTTGCTTGGCAACAGCCTGCTATTTTGATCCCTGCTCTTTTAACAAGAAAAGTTGAGTATGCACTGAAGCTTGAGAGCTTGGAGAATTACCGGGCAAAACTGTCATGAGATTCCTCTTGATTACCACATTTGTGACTTCTTGGGTAAGTTTGAACAGCAGAGGAATGAGGATGCCTTCTGAGATTTCTCAACCCATGCTGCATAGCCTGCCCCATGGGGCGGTGTGGTCTGACCCACACACAAGGATTCAGTACTGAGCAGGGAAGAGCAATGGTCCCAGGGAGGTGATGATGAATAAAGCAGTCAGTCATGGTTGGAGCTCTCAGAATGGGGAGACTTGTCACCCGAGGAAGGTCCTCAAGTCCATTCAGACCCTGCTAATCGCAGGTCTCCTCCAGATTTGAGAATTGCCCAAGAAAATGGGAAACCATCTCGTGTTCCTCTCTCTGCTTCTCAGGCACCACACTGTTGCCATCCCGTCACTGACCCCGTCCCAGGGTCCAGTTTTATAAGTCTGGAGTCCTTGTGCAATTGTTCAAAGGGCTCTTGGCTGAGGGCCAGTAGCTCCCTCCCTCCTTGCTCTGCTGATCCAATGCAAGTTGCTCCACCCTGGCCCAGCTCCTCACCCTTCTCCAAAGAAAGCGGTCACCTCAGTGCATCTCACTGGCTGGTACACTTGTCCTTCTTGGAAGGTCAGACAGTCCTCAGGTGCAGACCATGGAGGGAATCACCCCTTTCCAGTTCCAGGGGCCTTGGATAGGAAATTCATGTGATATGTTCAGGGGTACGACACACTTCTTCCTCACTGTCCTAGAACTGGGTACAAGTTCTAGGGGCTGAACTGGTTGTCTGGCATCTCTTTATGGAGACACTTGATGCTGGAGATTTTGATGGAGACAGACACCCTGTCCCTTCAAATCTGAAACAGGGTTGACTTCTGCTTGTGTCTATTCCCCAGTCATCAGGGCAGGTTGAGAGAGGGGAGTCTTTTTCTCTACTCACTAGGGTACAGATCAAGGGGACACTCAGAAGACCTGGGAAACCATTGCTGAGCTGAAGGGGGGGGACACCTCTTAAACCCACCGCCAGCCTTGGTCCCCACCCAAATCCATGTAGGCACTTTCAGGAGCTTGTAGGGGTGTCAGCTTAGACCGTCCAGGATGTTCCACAGCACCCCTTTCCCCAGCCCCTCCACTGCCTTTTGATCATCTCTACAGTAGGGTGTCTAGACATCGAACCCCAGGATCCATCTGACCCCAGCACTGGCTTCTGTCTCCTGTTTCCCCCTTCTACTCTGCACAAAATCCTCCTTCTCTTTAACTTGTGACTCAGTTCCTCACAGCTCATGTGTTCTGGGCCCTTCAGAGAGAGAGGAAGAGAGAAAGAGGGAGGAGGAGGGAGACAGAAAGAGGGAGAGGGGAGAGAGAGAGAGAAAGAGAGAGAGAGAGAGAGAGAGAGAGAGAGAGAGAAGGAGGGGGACAGAGAAAGGGGACAGACAGAGAGGTTGAGGGAGAGGACAGAGAGAAGGGACAGAGAGGGAGAGGGAGGGGCAGAGAGAGAGGTCAGAGAGAGAGAAAGAGAGAGGGAGAGGAAGAGGGAGAGGGTTAGTGCCATCCTACCCCCTGTCATTACTCTTCTGTCCACCAGGGGATCTCAGCTTCCCCACCCAGACCATAGGCAGACCCTGCTCTCAGCTGCCGTTCCCTTGGCTCTCTTCTGCCTGTGTCAGGCTGGGCCTTTATCCCTTTTTTTTTTTTTCTTTTTTGGTTTTTTGAGACAGAGTTTCTCTGTGGCTTTGGAGGCTGTCCTGGAACTAGCTCTTGTAGACCAGGCTGGTCTCGAACTCACAGAGATCGGCTGCCTCTGCCTCCCGAGTGCTGGCATTAAAGGTGTGCGCCACCAATGCCAGGCATTTGTCCCTGTTTCTACCCTAAGAGTGGGAGCATCTTTTCCCATGAATGCTAAGGACAGTACCAAGGGGCAGGGACTGTCTTGGGGAGCAGAGCCTGGGATAACCTTGCCTACAGCAGCCCTGCTTCCTTGAATGGGACCCTGGGGATCTGCCTTGTCTCCAGTGGGGCATTACCCCAGCTTCAACCCAAGATGCCCAAAGACAGATGCCAGGAGGAGACAGGGAACACTGGCATCCGGCTGCTGTCTCCATATCTGTCTTTGTGCCACAGTTCTCAGGCTGGGGGAGGGCTTTGCTGTTGTACTAGAGTCTGAGGGGTCTTGAGCAGCTTTGTGGAAGTCAGGTGATCAGAGGAAAAGTGAAACTGAAAATTTGGTGTCTCTGATTTGCCTGTGTTAGAGTTGCTTGCCGCAGGACACAGAGGCTAGGCTCCAGGTCTACCAGAAAAGTCACTTGGCACAGTCATCACTTGGGAATGCAGAGGGTATGTGTGTGTATGCGAGCAGGAGTGTGGTGCTTGGGAGACTGAGGTGAGGAGGCCCCAGCTGAAAGGATGCCCGCCCCTTTCATGGCTTCACTTGATCCAGTATCCTCACCCTGTCTCCCTTGGGGACTTTGTAGGAGGATAGGCAGGAATCTAGGTGGAGTAGCCAGGTCCCAGGGGTCAAAGGACAGGCACGAAAGGAAAGGTTGGAGATGGGGTGAGGTCTAGGGACAGGTAGGAATGGATGACTGGAAAGATGTGCTGTTGGGGACTCTGAGCATCTTTCCACTCCCTTAGGACTCTGGGGAACAACCCTGACTGAGAATATAGCTGAGAACAGAGAACTCTATGTCAAGACCACCCTGAGGGAACTTGTGGTATACATCGTGTTACTTGTGGATATCTGTGTGAGAGGCCACTGTCCTATGGGCATCTGCCTGTGAGAGGCACACATGTGTGAAATATTTGTACATTGTAGACAGCATTCATCTGTGTGAGTGGACCCTGGGAACTTTGTGTATGCAGCAATATGCAACTCCTGTGGCTTTTTAGCTTAAGAGATTTCATTGAGAAAGAGTTATCACTGAGCGCAATGGAAGAGGCCCAGCTGGCAGAAAGGTGGTTAACAAAGGAGGCTTCTCTCAAATTCCCAGGTAACCCAGTTTTCAAGTTGAGTTACTGACACTGGACCAGTAGCCATAGTTTGCACTGGTAGGTGGAAATTTTGTAAAGAGTGAAGGGCCTCTCTCCCTCCCTTTCTTTTCTTTTTCTTTCTTTTCTTTTCTTTTTTTCTCAAGACAGGGTTTTCTGTGGCTTTGGATGCTGTCCTGGAACTAGCTCTTGTAGACCAAGTTGGTTTTGAACTCACAGAGATCTGCCTGCCTCTGTCTCCCAAGTGCTGGTATCAAAGGTGTGCGCCACCAACACCCGGCTCCCTCCCTTTCTTTTTGATGGATTTTGCATTTTTTTTTTTTTAGGGGCAAGAAGAAAATGATTCAGTTAATAGAGGTTCCTGAGAAGAGAGTTGGGGGTTCAGTGGTGTGGCAATGCCCTGTGGGAAAGCCTGCACCACACAGGCAGCTGGTTCAGTCTGTGTGGGACACTAGCTGGGACCTTTGGTGTCCAGGTTCGGAGAAGCTTAGGAAAGATCCTAGTGTCGAATGTGCAAAGGTGGCATCAAAGAGCATGCAAGCGGAGAGAGCTGGAGCACACAGAGGCTATTTGGCCTGTAGGTGAGGGAATCGCTGCTGTATTCTGTTAATGCCTTCCTTTAACAGTTGCACAGCGTATGGCGTTTGCCTCATACAGCAAGAGTGTTCTACATGTGGTCGTTTGTATGCATGTTGACCAATGTGGCAGCCTAAATCACTGTCTTGGTCACTGTCCTATTGTGTGAAGAGATACCATAACTATGGCAACTCAAAAAGAAAGCATTTAATTGGGACCGGCTTACAGTTTCAGAGGTTTATATAGTCCATTATCATCAAGGTGGGAAGCATGGTGGCAGAAGAGGGCTGGAGCAGTAGCTGAGAGCTATATCCTGATCTGCTGCCTAAGAGAGAGAAAGAGACAATGGGCTTGCATGGGCTTTTGAAACCTCAAAGCCCATGCCCAGTGACACCCTCCTCCCAACAAGGCCACACCTCCTAATCCTTTCAAATAGTGCCACTCCCTGGCAATCAGCATTTAAATCTATGAGCCTGGGTGGGGGCATTGTTATTCAAACCACCACAACTGGGACTTGCTTATCATTCCCGAGGTTTAGTCTGTTGACTTCGTGGTGAGGAGCATGGGGGCACACAAGCAGAGAAGTAGCTGAGAGTTCCACATCCAGATCTGCAGGCAGGAGGAAGAGGGAACAACCTGGGCTTGGGATGGGCTTTTTAAGACTTCAAAGTCCACCCCCAGTGACACACTTCCTCCCACTCGGTAATGCCATTTCCTGATTTCATGTATTCAAATTATGAGCTTACGGAGGGCCATTCTTATTCAAACCACT